AAATATATAAACATTTATTTAAGACATTATTTAATTAGAAAACATTTATATAAATCATTACTTGTTTCGATAGGTCTTTGCCTTCGGGTGTGAAGCAATACCGGGGCTGACCTGAGCTGTTAAACAACAGCATATATCCCGACTGTCCGCCACCCAAATCATAGTCAACCACACCCTCCAGTTGTGGCAGTAAGTGGTCGGGTATTTGATTAACAAATGCTGGTCGTCGACATTGAACAGGGTGTGTACAATTACCTTCACTCATTTCAATCACACCACCTGGTACTTTAGCATATTCATCGGGGTTGTAAGCATCTTTAAAGTCGCCCAAAGGTTTGGCACTCAATACCCGCACCGACCGGTCGTTTGTATTCAACGCAATGTTGTATTCATTTAGCGACCTTTGAATGGACCGAATGGTTGGGCTAAATATTACGGCGTTTGGGTTGTATTGAGTGAACGGATCGGTAAAATATTTGCGATCCTTTTTCGATACACCCCTCTCATCAAAAACGATTCTACACTTCGTATATATTGACGTATTTCGCGGGAAATCCTAAAGTTATACACATTATTTGTAAATATAATTTTATATTTGTTCATGTATCAGGCTATTGGTAGTACAAAGTTTAAGTTTACTACTAATTTTAACGTGTTTATGTGTAAGTTTAACATGAGGCTCATTGTAATTTTGATGAACCTATGTGAAAAATATTTATTTAAACACTGCTAATATAACTCATGCCAATTTTAAAAATTATTTATATTGGTCCAGTGATAAAATTACAGTTAAAAATTAGTTTGTTGTTAGATTACTAAAAAACCTGTACATTCATACCGTATAATATGTGTCGCAACCATAATATCCCGCATAACCATATCCATTATAATCAAGCAAACCCGCAAAACTATTTACATACTGTGTGTGCCAATGGTATACTGTTGTATCACTTATTGATACCACTGGTGTTGTCTGGTTTGTCTGCTTTTCAATACGAAACTCCCAAAAATATCCATTTGATAGCATATAATATTTTGAATATGTTGATGTCGACGACCATGTATCATAGAACTCTTGGTATATTTTTATACCATTGTATTTGCCGTTAGATATTATGTGATTACATAATGTTTGAGATTTAACTATAGATATAATTGATATAATGAGCAAAACGGAGAACATTTTTATTGATATTTTTTGTCCAAACACTTTGGATAACAATTGATTTATTTATAAGACTAACATTTTCTGATGAAATGACATCTGAATTAACAGTTTTAACTAATATTATGTTTTAATATACATTATGTAACAACTAATCATTTATACATTATTGTTTTTGTTGAAACAATGACATAATGTATGTACACAATAAAATGTGCATTAATTTTAGTATTAACGTTATTACATTTAAGTCATTTATAAAACACATTCAAAACAGTACAAAGTAACAAATGTATTTTGGCGTTTTATACGATTATATCAATCGTAATGTCCGTTTCACTTAATTTTGTAGTTGTATACAATATTTTATTATTGATATGGTTAAGAGGCATAAAATAATTATATAATAATGAACAAAAAACTAAATTCCAAATTGTAGTATTCTGCCTTATGTTAACTTTATGCAAAAACAAGTGTATATGTTTATCTATGTATTTATTAAAATATAATTCCTTGAGCTGTCCATATGAAGGTGAGATTTTGAGTTAGGGAAAATCCCAAACCAATCGGGAACTTCTGGCAACACTAGTAGTAGTGCTCTTCTTGAATTTAATGAAATATCATTACCGTGTTAATTCTAAAAAAGTAACACTGTAAGAAGTTGCCTTATTAAACAACGTCGAGTAGGCCTAGTGGAAATTTAAGAGTTTATTTTAATGAATAAAAGTTTTGATTTTATTTATTGTGTGCAGATGGTGTTTGTATTTTAAGTAATGTTATTTTTTTAATAATTCAATGATATACTGACATACTGTGAATTTGTTTTGCTGGTACTATTAAATATTAATAAAACTATTAATAACTAGGTAATTAAAAAATACAGTAAATTAAATAAATATGTTATTTTGAACATGTTAAAATTATTTTATTTAGCTTAAGATTTAACAAACTTATAATTTTAAACAATTTTCAAATAAAAATTACAATAAAAAATTAATCATTTAATTGTAATAAATAAAATAAAATTATAATCATTCATTGTACATTTGCAATCCATGATAACATCTATTGCACAATTGATTGTTCATATCAGATTAAGTGCATGATAATTATCATGATAAGTTTATTGCATTATATCCTGTTCAATTTCTAATGACACAAAATTACATGACTTGACAAAACTACAGTAAGATTTATTAAAGGAAAATAATAATATATTATAAATACAATTATTTATTGCAATCATATTTGTTATTAATAATAATTTATTAAAATAATGTTGCATGTTTATTTTGAAATTATGTACCTTAATTATAAAATAAACTAGTATATAAACTTGATCAGAATACTTTATTAAACAAAAGTAATTATTGTTTATAAAAATATATTTAACAAACATAATTATAAATAACTAAGTTTAACATAATGCTTTTGGTTAACATTATCCTCGCTATTACTGTATGCGTGATTGGCTTGAGCCGGGCCGCACCGGCAACCACCATGGGCACATCATCAACACCCCAATGCCCTAATGTCAACGGAATGACCACTATTGATACGACAAAGGTATTTAATTAAAATCATAACATGGTTGCTTAACAAAACATTTGTAACATGAATTATCTGCATTAAACTAACATTATGTTTGCATAGCTGATGGGTCTGTGGTATCTTGTGGCAATGACACCTAGCCCGATTAATCAGACATGTCCACTGCAATGCCCGCGATTGACCTTTTCGCAATCAACCAGCAGTACCTATAATTTTCTGTTTACTACTAATATTACAGGGTAGGTCAAACTTGCTGGCCCATTAAATTGTTTTAATTATCTTTAATTGTTATTAAATTAATCATGGTAACGCGTAATCAAATAGGCAAACCCAACCAATTACTATCGGTCTATCTGATCTCCCTATAACTCCTGTGGTCAGCCCATTCAATTTAAGCATGGATATTTTGGGAACTTTAATTGGTATAAGCATAAAATTTGTTTAAGCTTGATTAATTATTAATTTTTAATTAATGTTGTAACTTTACAAACTATTAAAATAATAGACATACAATCGATGATACTAAACACCGATTACACGAACTACATGCTTATGTATACTTGTTCGATTGTTAACACAACACTAGTTGGTAAGTTAATGTGATTTTTTAAATTAATAACACAGTATAAATTACTACAATTGTTGTAAAATGCAACAGAGACATTTGACGTGTTTGGTCGGCAGCCAAGTATGGCCTCCATATCCGCCGGTACTATGAATGCAATACAGCAGTCCATTGGGTCCACAACCGGACTGACCAATAATGAGTTTTATAATTTTACTCAAACTTGTTAAATTAGCAATGCAAACTTTGTTAGTTATTTTTGTTGAGCTATTTTAATTTTATGCAAATCGTGATTATAATTAGAGATTTAGTAATATAGTTAATTTTAATAATTTAAACCGCATTTACCGTGTGATAATTGCCAGTATTGTTTATTATTTGAGTTTAATATAATTATATTAATTTAATATTTGTAATAGATTTACTAAACATTATATTAATTTCTAAAAAAATTATTAATAAAATATATGTTTTAAAAAACTCGATTTCAATTACATTAAAGAGTTTTAATTATCACATATAATTGCTTTTTTAAATTGTCTGTTTTTAGCAAGCTAACTAAAAAACAACATTCAAGGTAGTTTATTAATTAAAGTTTGGGTTCAGAATTTTGTAAATTTGTTTCTCAATTCAACAAATATATTTATATTCCTCCTATCTCAAATTAAGTATTGTATTAATTAGAGATTGGTTCATTAATTAGAGATTAATTAATCGTATGTCACTAACTTAATCAATAATATACATACAATACGTTTATCACTAATATTTGGCGTTAGGCAAACTACTAACCTGGGTTATCCTTGAATTTGCTACAGATGGTTAATATACATAGTGTAAAACACAAATATGATTCAATCTCACTTCTAATCTTTAAATTGTTGAACAAAATTAATCACAGCTTAAGTCTATGACACAGGTTTAACATAAGCAATGCTAAGTCTATCCTATGGGTAATATTAAATCTATGGGAGTAATGTTAACTCTATATGACTAATGCTTACTTTATGGAAATATCTATAATGATAAAACTATGGCTTAGGATTAACTTGGATAATAATAATTCTATGGCAATAATAAATCTATGAGTAAAATTATTGTTTAGACCGAATCAACATCAATAATCAACAATAATATTAGACAATTTTAAAAATTTAAACAATAAGATATTTTGGAACAACTTATAACTGTGAAAGTTTTTTAACCACAATTCAGCTATTAATAATGTGGTTTATAGGATCGATTGTGAGATTTAAAACGGAATCACAGCTTAAGTCTAT